CGAGGAGAAGAGGGGTCGATAGGAAGGATGGTGGGAGCACCAGGGGTTGGAGGCGAGCGGCACATGGAAGTATCTTCGAGAGGAGACAGCGGCAATAGATCAACCACCGGCAGCGACGGCAATCACGCTGGGTGGGGCTTATTTTAACATGGCCGCTGGAATGCCGGTTTACAGTGAGTGTGGATGACTGAGGCTCACCTCGCCATCGATACCTAAGCACAAAACGTGTACGAGTACTAGTAGCTAAAGCAGTACGACGTTGGAACGGCGAGACATATCTATGGCTTCAACTCAAGTAAACACCGCATGCCATTCGACTTACACCATGCTTCCTTCAATAGAACTGTGGGCGAACAACCAAACGGCGACTCAGCGTATGCCAGCGGATGAGGTCGTGGTGTACTCACTAAACCCAATCCTCCGGTTTTGCGAAAATGAGATCCACAACTCTCATGTGCAGGCTTGAACGTGAACTCGATACAGAGCAAGAACGATCCCGTGAACGATTATCCGAGTTGGCATCAGGTTTGGGGCCTGTTTCTGAGGATGTACTCAGTGGGATGGGGTCTGTGAGTGTGGAGTGCGTTCCTAAGGAGCTGGTATCTGTTAGCGACGTGCTATCAGAATCGCCGAAGTTCTTGCTCGGATGCGCGTCAACGTGAAAATTGGAAGCAGTCGCAGGAGAGTCAGGATCCCCCCGGTAGTGACTTGCCATCTTGCCAACGGTAGCTCGAGACTGTCGCGCCCGGAGAGGACTCTCTCGTATATCCTTCAATTTCGTGCCCTGAATCACGTCTTCTCAGCTCAAATTAGATGAAGGCAAAGAGAAATTGTGCGCACCAAGCTGACCAAAAACGTAGTGCCCTTCCCTTTTGCTTGCTCCGTAGGAAAAAGACTAAGAAGAGTGTCCTGAACGTTCCGCCATGCCGAATTCTCTTCATCCATGACCATCATATCAATTATAAAGGTAGGGACGCCCGCATACGTATTCTGGCACCCCGCTGTCCACAGGCAAAGGGTATCCAGATTATCGAATAGGTAGGAGAGGTGCTCCTCTCGTTGCTGTGACTCCTCAGCGCACTGCTTAATATGGTTCACGTAATGTATGAGCATTTTCTTGAACGTGTCCGCCATGTGCGGAGAGATAACGCGATGATGGAGCTCAAAAACACGACGCCAGAAGCGCAAACACCCAGCGTCCTTGAACGCGTCGCTGAACTCCATGCCGGCGACACCTAGAAGGAATCTACCAACATTGAGCAGTAACTCCAGTTCGGGCGCTTCGGGAGTGGTGAGAACGAGCGAATCCGCCTGATTGGGTGTGGGTAGCCAGGATAGCAACCTCCGCACGGCTTCGGGAGTAGGATAGACAGCACCGACGCCGACTATGCGCATTGCTTGGAATAGCGGTGAGAAATCGATACTAAGCAGGGGAGCGAGTTCCGCGGGCGAAGTCGGGGTGGCATGATAAAGAGCATGCAGGCAGAAACGTCGGAGGAAGGTCGTGCTCAGAAGATCACCAAATTCCAAGTAGGCCCTCAGGTAGTACATGTGGCTCCAGTCGATGTATGAGGATAGGTCATACGATTGCTCTTCAACGAGCTGAACGCCCGAGATTTTGCTGTGTTGGTGGGCGGATAGGAGTTTGCTGGCTATTGCCTTGAGCGAATCCGCGCGAAGACCCAGCATATCCGCATAGACACCGAAAGACCTCGTGCTCAGGGTCATGTTTGGGTGTGTCACGACTGCGGACAGCGATCGCAAGCAAAGCCTATCCCATTCAATGGCAGAGGTGTAGGGTGGCTGAAGCTTGCGAACATCTCTTGGATCTAGACTGAGGCATTGGGTGGCGATGGAGCGAGTGGATGGATTGGGTGATGTCCGCATGAGCCATGTAAACATATGCTGGTGAAGTGCTCTTCGTTTGGAGGTGATTATTTTCGCTTCCTTATCTCTCAGAGAGCGCGGCTGAGCGAGTTTCATCCTGTACGCCACGAACGATATAGGTTCGAACCAAAATGACACGAATCCATCGTCGGAGTTGGTCGAATACGTTAAAAGGTACCAGGGGAGGCGAATGGCTAGGGAGAGCGGGGCGTATAGGGAGAGGAGCAGCAAAGCGAGTACACGCTGTGTCCAATATGAGTCCGTCCAGATCCAACTATATCCCGCGATGAGAGCATGTCCAATCGACGACGCATACTCGGAGAGTGGCGTTTTGTACGGGCAGCTAGCGTCCCAAGCCGGCAGCAAGTTGGTGATCACGTAGGCGATAAGCACTGTGGAGACGATTCCAGTGATGACGCATGCGATGATGTGGTTGAGAGTGAACAAGAAGACGACGAGACCGGCGAAGAATAGGAAGAGGGATAGGTGAAGGAGGGTGGGGAGCAGGCCGACGATGAGGGGCACATGCCACTTTTCGATGCCGTAGTAGCGAAAACCGCGGACCTCTGCTCGTGCTTTCGCAGTTCCGTGGAGGGATGGAGCTTCGTACGCCTGAACCCACTGTCGGACCAGAAGCGCGACGAGCGCGGCGGAGAGGGCGAGCGCAAGACTCGTGAACCAGAGTCCGTTAATCCAGTAGTCGGTGATGTTGGTAGTAGAATTGGGGGGAGAGTCGGCGCTGAGAGGGGAAGGATCGACCTGGTCAATGGAACCGCTGGTGATAGCGACGCGCTGCAATGCAATGAGCTCCATCAGGAGTCTATTGGTGACCTGTGAGTGGCCCAGCTGCAAAGCATTGGCTGAAAGAGTGACAAAAGCGGTGACGATGGCGGAAAACAAAACGCCCTTGTTGCATGAGATTGATCGTCAGGACATTGCCCGTTGTAAAGCAGACAATCACTCACAAAAACAAGAACCACATCCGCCGTATCCCGCATGGTTTTGATCATGTTGACGTCAAATTGCCCAGCCTCGTTGAGATACACTTTCCAGACCCGCGCATTTGGCCCGCCCTCCTTTCCCTCTTCGTCCTGAGGGAATCGTTTCTCGTAGTCTAGATGATCAACCTCGCCATCTATGAACTCGTTAAAGTAACCCTTAAGGACGGGTATGATATACATTCAAAACTCACCGGCAAGCAGACCAGGAAGAACAGTCTCGAGACCGTCGACTCGCGTTGAGCTGTGTCCACCCGCGTTCCCTGGGTTATCCTCTGGCTCGCCATCTGAAGGCACATCAAAGCCCTGATATGATTCATGAGCTCTAAAGTTTCCAGAACGTAGGCGCGGTGACAAATGTACCACGTTCGGAATCGCAACTTGTGGTGTACCATGTCGCTCTGCATTCGTACTGGTCCTAGAAGTCGCCGGTGGATTATCCAGAGCATCCAGATACCTAGAATGGATAGTGAGATCTGGCTCAAAGACAATCAAGTCGTCGGTGGTGCAGGTTAGCTGAGAGGACATGATGGACTCAGATGGGGAGGGTAAGGCAATGGCTTGTTCAAACACGCATCCACTTAAACACTGAATTTGCTATGTTGCCAATTTATCAATGACTTTATCAGTGGTGAGAGATCTCCGCGTATATGATAGCCTCAAACAAAACGGCAATTGCTGTACAAGATATATATGCAACAGACGTTGATGAGAACGTTGGACCATCGCTGTGTCGCGCACGCATACATTTTTACAGTGATGCGGCTGCGCACTGCCTGCGCAGGCGTTAATCGCCACCCGCCAGAGTTCTAGACTCTAGCCGACAGCACTGAGCAGTCCACCGCCCTCAGTGCTATTCTCGAGAATACGCCCAATCCTATGCCACCTCAGCGCACCCAACCCTCCTGCAATCATCAACTCAAGCCACGCTCTCACCAAGCCTAGAGCGCCGTTGTTGACACCAGTGAAGTAGGCGAGCTACTGAGAAGTAGGGTTAAGTGTCGCAAGATGTCGGGCGATAGACTCTTCGCTAGTGCATGAGGAGTTGAGCTTGAGGTAAATTCGTGATATGAACAGAAGAGGTCGATTAGGGCAGAGGAGGACCGTGAGCAAGAGGAGGATGAATGAAGCCAAAAAATGGTGGTCGAAGACATCAGACTTGAGAGCCTTCGGAGTACCGGGCCGCCGTGAGGTGCAGTGGTTTTAATATTGTTTCAATTGGCGCTGGTACTCTTTTCGGTTTGTGGCTCAACTTGCTTTGTTCTCCTGCCTCTCGATGAGGATATCTCTTTCTCCTGCCAAAATTCCCCGCGATCTTTTCTCTATGGATCTTAGAGCGGCCTGCGTCCTCGTCTCTGCCAATTAGGCATGTTTTCATGGACGTTGTTCTGTGTTGCGTGCGGCCGATATGCAAGAGCACGCACGAGACAGCTTGCTACGCTCCAAGAAGAGCTAGTGTCGACTCTCTATGCCGGGGACTATTTCGATCCTCGAATCTTAGCGTCTTTCCAACTGATATTTTACCATCTGTACTGAACACACCAGATGAGGAGCATATTCCATGTATGTACGTGACGCTGTTTCTACTTCTACCAGCGGTGTGTTGAGTTTTTTGACTCCGCTTCAGCGACCTTGAACAGCTCGTAGTCGTCCTCTCCGAATAAAGCAAGAAAACCAGGTAGTACGAGTCTTCGTCTCTCGACGAGCCACATCCATGCGCGTTGTCGACGCCTGCAGTATTGTCTAGCTCCGCATTTGGAAGTATACCCGAGGTCCAGCGGGATGTGTAAGTTTAAGGATTGTTGTGAAAAGCGATGAACGTTCCCAGAAGCCTCGACGTCTTTAAAGCTAGAAGAACCCTTCGCTGATTGGTCAGAGTCGTCCAAAAGACTCTGAGCGTCCATTGGGGTGCTACGAATGGAAGAATCACATCCAAAGACCTGAAAGTGTTTCCGTAATATTTCCTCGAACATGGACCACTTGAAGCCAGGACTCCAGAGACCAGGACCAGGAGGCTAAACCTCTGACTGTTCAGCGGCTAGCCTAGTGCCAGAAGAAGGCCAACAAAACGACGGAGTTCTGCAAAATTAATATTAATGTGTACTCGAACTGGAATTCGGATACGGGGAATCGAACCCCGAGCTGCCGCGAAATTACGCGCTGAATGAGAGGCGGCAATGTTAACCATTACACCATATCCGACTTATAGAGGCGAGTCTATAAATTAATATGACAAATTTGTCGTTGTTCGCAGGTTCAAAGACGTGGAAATTTCCTATGTGTCTGTTGAGCATTTGCATACCGACTTAGGTCGAGTACGAAGCGCATTGGATTTATACACAGAGCACATCCACTCAGCTGATCTACCGCTCCAAGGCCGCGACCATCGACTAGCGCAAGCGCACTGACGACTGACTCTACGTTGCTCTTAAATGGCGCACCATGACCTTTACTGTGCACCAGCAAGCCACATCGAGAGGTCTCCCTAGATACCCCCTGAGCGCACTCAATCGCCTTAAGTCGCTCTCCCCATGGAAAACAACCCCACGCCCGACCTTAAACCGACACACCCAACCGCCGTCCCTACCTCCCAATGATCAGGAGCCCAACCCATAATGAAGTCCTACCGAGCCCACGGCGCCCTCGTCGGTCCATCACCAGGTTCACCCTTCTCAACGTCAGATCTGTCCGCATCCGCTGGACTTATGCCAGGTCCTGATAAGCGATGGGTTCCAGGTCCATCTGAGCGCTGTGTCGAGCTCATCCCTGGTCCGTCCAAGTGACGGGTCGAGCTCGTTCCAGGTCCGTTCAAGGGAGCCACAGGTGAGGATGTATACGTCGGGGCCGATGCCCAAGGTGCTGCGGTTGGCGGCATAGCAGCCGGTCTCGCAGTCGACGCCCAAGGTGCACCTGTCGCTGGAACTCCATGCGTAGCCATCGTCGATGATGCCCATGGTGCACCCGTTGCGCCAGAATGGTACGCGCTGGAGTGCGAAGTAGAGGTGGGGAGAGGAGTGGGATACGAGGTGGACGGTGGTGCCATGTGCGTGGAAGAAGGCACACTGGAGCGGATTGCGGATGCGTTTGCACTGGACGGATCCCACGCGATGAGACCGCCGAGCGGGAGATGTTGTACGACGACGCGTTTGGAGAGGACTTCGGCCTAGAAGGGGGGTGTTAGCTTCGTCGCTTGAAGAGAAAGCAGAGGAGTAGTGAATAGAAAGCACAGTGCAACAGAGATGAGCGAAGAAGAGCGACGAGCAAGGGCGAGAAGGGAGGAGAACGGGAATGAACAACGAGATGGTACAATGGCTTACCTCGTACATCTTGAACATCCCCTCGTTCACTTTCTTCCATGTTTTCACGCCCACCGCTATCGAGTGCAGCTGAGATGAGTGCTCGTGGAATGGACCTGGATGTGAATCGAGTCAGCGACGAGGTTTAGCGCCGAGTTGGGATAGCAAAGGCGTGAGAGACAAAACACAACACGGGAGCGATAAAGAGAAACAGCAGGGGGACATCAGGGATACACCAACGAGCAAAACTCACCATTTTTCAACTCCCTCACCCTATCCACACCCACGTAGTATAAATTTCCCGTCCCCAGTCCCTTCCTCAGCACAACATCCGGCGCATACTCCGTCTCCTCTGCTCAGCATCAGGGACATATTCCATCAAGTAGTGAATGCATACGCGTACCTCGCAACATTCCACTCCCCCATAGATACGGTAAGAACGAACTATCGTCCAGTCCCCAAACACCATGACTTCCCGCTGGCTCAAGCCGGTAGATATCTTGCAATTTGTAGCAAAGTTTGAGGTAAGCGGGGAAGATGGTGAGGACGAGGTGTCGCAATGCGTAGAGTGACAAACTAGTCGCCGGCAGGGGAGATGAGCTTGAACCTGAGTTGGATGAGTCGCTGAAGAAGTCGAGGAGGGATAAGCAGAGGAGGAACATGGCGAAGGAGACTTCGTGTCCTGTGCCGTAGTCCATCCGCCCGAATGAACCGAACGAGGCGAGGAGGTATGGCTCGAGCTGGCGTGTTATGTCTGTGCATTCATCGGGGTGCTTGTCGTACAGAGTTGAGATGAGTCTGGAAGAGTTCTGGGAAAGCTCAGCTCAACGACGAGTGAAGATGGTGACAAGACTAGACGCACCTCCTCCAACCTTCTCCCCCAGGTTCTAAACGCGAGATTCCCGAACCGCTGAGGCGTAACTAACGGTGGAATGTCATTCGTCCACCCATTCAGCTCATCTATCATGCTCAGCACCCTCTGCACTCCCTACGGTCGTGCCGATGTCAGCAATCCATCTAGAAGCATCTTATCGAGGAGCTAGCGGAAACTCACTCACAGGAAATGCGCTCGCACTTGCCGCCGGATTCGGCTCGTCATCTAGATCTGGGGTGTAGGGAAGCGTGTATCCTACGACTGCCTCGTTCGCTTCTTTTAGGAACGCGAGAAAGGTGTGGTATCCGGAGGTCGTCTTCCATAGGTGCACGTCTTCTTCGACTGTGATCTTCTTGGATGGGGTGTCGAGGGTAGATAGAGACTCTATGAGAGTAGTAGGAAGGGCCATGTCGCGTAAATCTGGGTTTACGAGTATCAGTAAGTGAGAAAGATGGATGGGTGCAAGTTGAGTGTGGGAGTTTGTGTGCAAACTTTGGATGACGAGCGAGGGCGTCTACTCCCTTCGTCTTTCCGTGCCGCCCGGCCCCCGCTTGGAATGCGCGGAAATGGGCGTGGCTCGTGGACGCATCTTGACCTGAGCCTCATCCGGACCTCACCCAAAGCTCGCTCGTTGGTACTATCAGCTTCCAAGTCAATCATCAGAACATCCAGTTCTTGCCCCTACGTCCACTGCCGAACTCAGCCTCCGTGATCATGTTCACACCCTCCGAAGTATTCATCGACGGTGACTCTCGCGCAGAATACACGCATGCTAGAGGATCTCGCTCCTCGATACCTGCTACAACGGATGACTTGCTGAGACTAAACTCAGAGTATTGCCATTCAGTAGCCCCCACGATACCTGCTACAACGGATGACTTGCTGAGACTAAACTCAGAGTATTGCCATTCAGTAGCCCCCATGACCTGCAGAACTGTGCTCCTAGAAACGGGTCCAATCACGGGAGAGTTTTTCTCAATCAAGCCGTTGCTACGTTGACTCCACGGACGCCTCTGGATGCCGGAATCGATGAGCTCGTAACCACTTCTCTGGAGGTGGACGGAATAAGAAACCGATGCGCCGGTAACGCCCATTGACGCTCTCCCGTGGGAGACAGTTGGCTGCCAGTACCCTGGATGGAAAACATTAAGAACGGTCATAGCCAGAGCGACCATTGCCCCATTGAAAAGCGCTGTCAAAGTTGAACAAGCATCAGAGCCGCGGGCAAAATGAAAGATCTCAGGTACTTACCGAAGGACCACTCCGGGGCAGACCCATTCCATGACATGTTTCCTGGGTCCCGCTCGACACTTCGAAATATCGCTCTATACGGCAGGTTACTTTTACCCGTGATCAACGAGCTTTACGGCGTTATTCACGCACCGAACAAGCAGCAGCAGCATGACCAACATCACTGCGCTGATGAAGATCTTCACGCTCGGAGACAATACTTCTCTCTCCCTCGTCTTGCCAGACACAGGCCTGTCCTTGGTGTTCCGGAAGAGAAACTCGCCCAAGAGGAAGCAGAAGCCGAGGATGACCACTGAGAAAATGTGCGTCAGCGTCATGGATACTGATCGATAGGCTGCTCGCCAACTGCTCGCGGCTCTTACCTAATTGGAATATGACACCGATAAAGATGAGGGTTTCGCCCTATTTATTGCGTGTGTGAGCATCGGCCGTATCCTTGGAACGTATTAATAGTACTGAAATACTCACTAGGTCGAATACATCGGTAACAGATGGCCCCACACCACCGGCAACGGCATGAAGTATCAGAGATACCATATTCTGACGATTATCGAGTCGTCAGCTGAGATTCACCTGCTCGTAACTTATAAATCACTTGCCCAAGAAATGAGGAAACTGTAAACTTTTCAAATGAATATCCGACTCCGTCAGTCTTTCACTTGGTAGCGTTAAATCAAAGATCCGCTGACACTTCTTCGGCGACAGCCTGCTGTAGCACGATCCCAGTTGCTTGATCACACCCCCAGCGATTATGCCCAGCGATTATGTAAACCGCGGCCAGCAGAAACGTAGGAGCAATGAGCCCCGATATCAGCCTGAAGTCTCTGAGTAACATTCAGAGCTATCATAGGAGAAGAACTGAACGTACTGCATGTAGAACAGGCGATGCGCCAACGGATCATTCGACGACTGAACCCGCGCCGCCCAAGCAACCAGTTCTCCCGCACCACAAGCCACCACCGTCACGAGCATAGACCACCTCCTTGTCCGTAGCGTCTGGACCAGATGCGCCACTTCATGACGAAGAAACAATCAGCGGCGGCGCATATGTAGTGAGCAATATGTGTGACTAGGGACTTACATGTGGAGAGCCCAAAGCACACGACGAAAAAGATGCACAGAGCCTGCGTGGGGACGTAGCCATATGTGATGGTATTGGTGTCCGAATCGACGCTGCGCCTGTCGATCGCCCATAGATCCACTATAAAATAATCACGGCCAATTCCATCAGCTGTAGGCGGTGAGAGAATAAGAGAAGCTGGATGGACGCACACATACTCAGGTCTTCGAGCGGGGCCACGCCTTCAACACGAGTCGACAAGGTAGAATCCATGATGGTGGAGCAAGAGCAAGCTAGCGGAGACGTAACGACGTCGTGAGAAGCGAAGCAAGGTGAGAAAGCTCATGATCAAGCCTGAGCCCACCAAAAGACAGTCTTATAACTTCCAGATAGCATGGAAGAAGCGATGCAGAGTGTTCAACTCTGAGAAGAGATGCGCAGCAGCGTGTCGTGCTAAAGAATGTGAATGCAGATATTGAGGCGTCGAAGACTGGCAGGCACAAGAATGACCGCAGTGATGAAAGTTCAACATTCAGATTTAAGCGCCATTAAGCAGGCGTGAATAGCACTGCCGTTACGGCTAGCCAAATTTCCAGAGGTAGGATATCGCTGCACATATAGGGAGTGCAGATTTCGAAGAGTGATTAGTATTCAGACTCAGCTAATCTGAGTGCAATCACCTTCCAGTGTTACTGCTAACAGTGCCGTGACGTCGATCACG